ACTTGAAATTAACACGTTAAGTAAAAAAGAGAATCTTATGAAGTTATAAGTAAATCAGTGTATGATCATTACAAGTAATCTATTATACAAAGTAAATAAAAATTACTTTTCAACTAGTTAACTTCCAGCCTTATAATCAATATTATTAATAGTAATATTTTTCAAGTATCAATTTTAAGAATTATTGTAATTAGTAACATTTTATATTTTGGATTGTGCACAAAGTGTGTTAGTTACTTACATTATTACATTTATATATTAATTTAAATATTGAGCAATATCACATAATTTAAATTACCCGTATAATCTTACGAATAAGACAATTTATAAAATTCAGAAATTTAGCTAATCCAAAACTAAACTTAAAATATATTTTATTTTGTTTTTATAATAAACATTTATTTTGTTTTTTTGATAAAAAAATATAATAAAATAGTTGTAAATATATATATATATATGTATTAAAAAAAGTTTATTGTAGGTATGTATATTTTAAATTACCCGTATTAAATATGTTTTACGATTATACGTTTAATTATTGATACATAAATAAATGGCAATAACACATTTTAATCAAGAATACAAATATTGATATAGGTATAATAGGTTAAGTACAACAAATTACTAATATACAAACAAATTATTCGTCCGGCTATGACTTATGGCATCCAACTTTGGAGCTCAGCAAAAAAACTCCAACCTCATTATTTTTCAAGCTTTTCAGTAAATTAATCTTAGGATAATAATTAAAGCTCCGTGGTATGTCAATAATCTTATTTTACATAACAATCTTAACATCTGCACTATATCAACTCTCGCCTGCATTTATTATTCTAACTTCCACGCGCACAGTCACAATTACCTAACCCTCTAATTTCTAATCTTTCCTCTGCCATTATTCCTATCAATCCTCTTCAACACCTAAAACGTAACTAGTCACGTGTTTTACTTATATAATCCACCAAATAAAAAATAAAAAAATAGTTAATTAATAAATTAAAACAAAAATAAAGAATTATTATTGAAGTAGTGTCACTGGATGTCCCTTGTACATAATATTCTAAAATTAACTTATTGTATCAGTTGAATACAAATTGTAAATATATTTGTTTTTTATTAAAAATAATTTAAAAAAAGATATAATAGGTATAGGTAAATTATTGATGTTTGTTCACCATCCGTATGTGCAATGTTTGTGGTAGTTTGATAATTTAATCAAGTATATGTCATCCAGGAGTTAAGCAGTCGATAAGTATCTAGATATAATGAACTAATAAATTTTAAAATAAAAACATTTTTTTTTTTAAATTTTAAATATTAGCTTAAGTTAAATTTATACGATTAAATTAAATTTGGTCCTCGTTAAAATGGCATAATATGTTATATAATTACAATATACATTATTAAAAATAGTTCAAATAAGGAGATGGGCTGTTGAGTTTTTGTTTTGTTTTGTGTTTTTTTTTTAGCTATGCGCCTATGTGTATTTACAACAGTATGGTCACGCTGGTTTTCCAAATGCTGATATTAAAATATTAACCACAGTAATGAGAAATATGCCAACAATAACATAGTTTCCGTACTTGAATGCCATTTTTCGCTGTTCACAATTAGTTACATTGTACCGAATACTCAAGAGCATAGTCACACCAACTAAAATCTAATAAAATTAATTTCAATAGTACAGATCACAGGTAGAGAGGTTTATTAGAAATACATTAAATTAAATGTATTTACTTGCAGGATTATACTCATCGATATAAGTACTACGCAAATGTATGAAATGTATTGGCCATCGAAAGTCTCTAAGACATGCCTTAACTGATTGGCGTTTGCGGAGAATAATGCAATGTCCATCATACTTTGAGTTAAAAGCTTCTTTTTTCTATACAAATCAAAAGCTTTCAAAGTATCGTCATCAGAATCTCCAAGTAACTGAAACAAATATTAATTATGTTCAATAATTTTTTTATATTTAATAATGCGAATCAAATATTGTAAATATTGAATCTATACATTGTCAAAAACTCCATTATTATTATTTATAATTGGTTGGAGTTCGTTGTCTTTAGTAGGTTGAACGGTTTGGTTCGATGGATTATCCTGTTCTACACGAGGAGGATCGGATAAACYATTAATATTTTTTTGTATCTCAATGTGATTTGGAGAACTGGTCAGATCCATAACGTTTTTTTCTTTTTGATTTGTATTTCTTTCAGGTATTCGACATTGTTTTAAAACTGATTTTTCCATGATCTTCGAATTTTACTGAAACAAATAAAACATAAAGTCAATTTAAATTTTAAAGTATTATTTATTATTTTATTAAGAGGTRATTACTTATGCGACACTAAATATATTCATTTTATTTGAATACTTAATAATAAAAGCCGTTGTGTAAAATACCATTATATTTCCAAAATGTACTCGGTACTTTAAAAGGATATGATCATTAATTGTCATTTTTTATACCAGTTTTCTAAGTTATGAGCTCACAAAAAAATTTCATATTTATGGAGCACATTTGTCTGTCCATTTTTACACCTACTTCGTACAAACTATGCCAATGTACTGAGCATAAAGCATGGGGCTTGTTCTTCAGTAAAATTTAAAATTGCTGTAGAAACAACAGTCTCCTCCCAAATTTTAATTCAGCTTAGCGAAGTTGAGTAGCTACATATGTGTCCTGCAAACAGATGTTCTCTGTTAACTACTCTCCTCATATTAAAATTTTGAATAATCATTAAATATTGGTGACTATAATAGATTTTGAGATTGTGTAGCATTGTGCAAAATTCTTTGGACAGTCCAAAAAATAACAATGCTTATTAGAAATCCGTTTTCACTTACAGGATAATAATGTATATTTATCTACCTAATATTAGAAGTACTACTATAAGCCTTTTGTTTTCATTTCAATGAAATTGATTGGATTTTCAATCCATAAAAATAGAAATCTAATCTGTGAACTATATCACTATGGTTCAAATTAGGAATAACCATAAGAGTATATTTATTATACTTACCTATTGAAAGATAAATAGCAATAAAATAAAATTATACAGCATTCACAACACTATTTTAAATATGTTCACAAACTGCGTAATATTAATATTACATATTATACATGAATATAATTTTTAAAAACTTAAAATAAAACATTCTGATACAATTGATAAAAAAATACAAAACCTTTAACAGATATTGCTTAGTTTGCGCTAGTAAATAAATATTCTGAATATTCATAATTTATAACTTATCAGTTATTTATAATTAAGATTTAATATGGTCGTCTAATATATAATATATTTTTAGGTAAAAATAAAATATAGACATACCTATAATATATTGAATTGGTTACTGAAATCTGATGAGTATTGATAACTGATAAGAATAAGTTAAATGCATTAAAACGTAAATTATGTTATACCTAGCTACTTATTACTTAATAAGAATGTAAGTTCAAAGTCTAGTCTCATAAATCGTCATAACATATAATTTCATAAGTATAAGTAATTCACGTCTATTCTACAGCATTTTCCCCTCGTTATTATTAATTTATTTTTACATATTAGGTAGGTACACACTATACACATCAAATTTGCATCAAGTACCTCTCCGCTCTACCTAAAGTAAACGTCAAACCTTAACTATTCAATTTAATTAAGTTTATACTAAGTCCTATTTACTATAAATTTGATTAGGTTATTTATAAAAATTAAAACCTGTCTCCACCTTCACGTCCGCACGATTGCCGCGATTGAAGTATAATGTCAGAGTTCTCGTATCTAATCTTTTTCACAATAATGAGTGCCACAAATAATTGTTACTCATCAAAAACTGCCAAAAGTAAAATTTACAAAACAGACCCACTACTAATGATTCTCAAATCGTTACACCAGACCATCAATTTTTCATCAACCTCTTCCCCGATAGGTAGTGAAAATCAAATAATCAATTGACAGTCGAAACGAGTAAACGGTTGCGTTCACCGAATAACWATTATTATTTATTATCATAACTTTAAATCATTAATTTTCAATATTGTAACAACTCCTAATGAACTCATGATAATCTCTAATAAGTTCAAAATCAATGAAAATATAAATACAAAAATTCAAAGAGTCCTACTCCATCACTTGCTTTTATCAAAAATCCGTATCAAACTACTCACATTATTGTAAACTACAATAGGTTAATAAACTAATAAAATCTGATTCGAATGCAATCATTTCACGTTAGGCCTAAGACTAAACATATTAAGTCCAATCCAATCTTATACAGAGCTGTAGTTATATACATTTAGTATATTACATTTTTTAAAGTATAGGATAATTATACCAAATATATTATAGAATAATTAGAATAATGTATTTAAATTATTTTTAATTTAAATTTTTAAAAGATGTTTATGATTTGTAGTTTGAGGAATAATAAGATTTTGTACTAATTGATTAAAGGCAGTGAACTTACTTTTTGGAGAAAGACACCTAGTAGTAATTCATTCTTTTTTTATTCCTTCTAAAACGAGACTTTTAAAAGCAAAAGTTAACACTTACCTATTTATATTATAATCAATTATTTTGGTTTTTTAATCTATAATAATAAATATTAGGCACTAATTAGGTAATATTTTATAGAACAAGGAATATTATACTATACATTAATATAACGGAGAAACTTGTCCTGCAGTAACTAACATTTGTCGGTTTGATTAAATTAAGTTAAGTTAGGTTAGGTTAGAATGAATATATCTATCACTTATCAGCGACGCATAAATATTAATAATTTTTATCGGAATTAAATATAAATTTGAATACTTGACAGTTTGTAGAAATAAACGTTGGTAGTAGAAAAAAAAATCATAAAAATGATAGAGGTAGGTATCAAAATCTAATAATTTAGTAAAAATATAATAATTGTTTTAATTAATTACATTGAGTCCATTTATCTATTGACTATAATATTGCTATGTATTAATGTGTTCAACTTGTTCAAGTTAAATTTATTTTCGATACACTCATGTGCTACGCTCGAGCATATGTGGTATAGGTGGTTTATAAGTACAGTTATCCATAATCGGAACTTACAATATATAACATAAATACTAACAAGTTGGTTTATTTTGAAAATTAAAACGTTAAGTAGAATAAGTAGATTATTGTTTGTAAAACAATACTGGTAGTTGAACTTGAAACTTATTTGAATAAATACTGTAAGAAATTTAGAAATGAGTTAATTTCCTTTTTCTGAATTAAAATATATATATAGTAAATAAGTACATGAAAAGAATTGGCTATCGCCCATCTGTAGATTTCTAAGATCAACAATTCTAAAAATAAATTATTATTTGGTAAAGAAGCGCATGTTTGTAATTAAAGAATAATAGGTAATGAATATAATGCCAATTGTAAAATAAATAAACAAATTAGTATGGTAATAATAAATGAAATCACACAAAAATAGTGATTTTAAATTATTAACTCAGTAAGAAAGTTTTCTGTTTTTTAAATTTGTTTTATTGTTTTTATTAAATTATAGAACTAATTCAGTATTGAAACTTACTGTCATAACTACCTAATTATTCAGCACTATGAAAACTTAAGCCTTATTTCAAAATTTTAAAATATTGAGCCCTGAGGAATATTTAAAATTCATCCTTTTTTGATTGGGGAAAGAAGTTTAATGTAGACTTGCAATAAGTATACAAATAATCATATACAAAGATAATAAAAACGCTTCATACATAAAATAAAATAAATTATTATCACAGAATACTGTTCGAGGGACTGCATGTTACCTGTTCAAAATAATCTATCCAAATACGTAAAAAAAAAATATCCCTGCCTCCCTAATACAACTCCGCACAATATATATAAAATAAAATAAAATAATATTTTATTGCTTAGCCGTTTATATATTATGTAAGTAAAATTCACATCTATAATTATTCATAATACAACCGAATCGACGAGGCCGATCGAAAATTCGTTTAAATAAGTATTGTATCGAAAATATGAACCATGAAGTTTTATTTGAATGGAAGGGGAAGGGAAGTAAAATAATGGAAGTAAACGGCTGATATGTCATGGAAAAACAATCACGAACTATAACAAAAGTCAGTAAGTATGGTTAACCCACTTGTTCTCATAAGCTTATTACGTATATTATTATATATTAGGTATAGCATGTTACGGATATTCTTCGGGATTTTAAACGGTTCGTTTAAAAAAAGTATATAATCGTAAAATATAATGTGATGTCTTACAAATTCACATGCGTCAGTTGTCAAATAGCGAGCATTTTTAAACTGTTTTAATGCGAATCTAGTCATTTTACTAGATATAGATAAATTATACAGCATTTAATGTTGAAATATAAAAAAAAAAAAAAACGACGCGTGAGAACGGATAAATGGTGATAAGCTTATCGTATTTAAGTGGCATACATTTATCCTCCGATATTAAAAACCACAAAACTGTATTGTAAAAAAAATGTGTCGAAGGCGCATTTAGTTAATTTAGTGGCTATGGGTACACATTCCGACTGAGGTGACTCACGAGGGACAACTAATGCGCGTGGTAGCGTTTTCTTCAAAGTTTTACTTGTGGGATAGGTATTTATTATAATGATAATATAAACTCGCGTGTAATTTTGTAGTAGTGCACATTAAACGTTTTCAAAAATATTTTATAACAATGACTATATATCTATAGGTATACTAAACACCCCGAGAAATCGTCATATTAGGTATGGTGTGGCGTGGAAAAATAAAACAAAATACGAAAGAATATAAAGAAACTTTACCTGATTTACGATCGCTTGTCGTGTTTACACTCAGGTAGCAATGCCAAATTTTCGGGGACAAATGACTATTATTGCCGTTAACGTGTTGTTGGTGGTGGCAAATCCAAAAAATAAATAACAAACAAACGAATAGAAATAAAAAAACAATTTACTRAAATTCTAAAGCCGTTTAATATTACGAAACATCACTGACGCAGTACACTAACGGGTTCATCAAACTGTGCGAAACCACTGCCGCATTATTATTACTATTTCGTTCAGAATCCGCGGAGGTGGACGTCCCATCTCGTTTTGGTCGGAGAATGGGTCACTTGTTATATACTCGTCAGTATAGTCAGTATTGAGTCGGAGGGGATTACAGACTAACTGTAAATTATCATCATAGAGCCAAGAAAATACTATATTCATTATATTTTTACTTTTCACGCACTGTACAATGTATATAAGTGTGTAGACAAACTAAATATATTTTATTATTTTGATTAACGTAATATTGATTTTTTATGGTAAAAAGTTACACTCTTGAAAATGGAATTGTGAATATTTATACTTTGTACATTTTACTTTGTTTATTTTATCATGAGATATTATGGTATTTAAACAGATATACTTATATAATAATATTTAATTTTATTTACCATAAAATATTTTTAGTTTGTCTACACACTTATATACTTTGTACATTTTACTTTGTTTATTTTATCATGAGATATTATGGTATTTAAACAGATATACTTATATAATAATATTTAATTTTATTTACCATAAAATATTTTTTGTGTTAGGAGCGTCTTAAGTTTTGACATTGCGTGAAATCTTTATTATTTTTCCAAGTTTTTACTAAATACTAACATTAAAATAGGTTGTATGTACTAGTGTACTAATAGTACAATATATTGTATTACTTAATATTTATTTCGTACCAGCTGCATATTATTCATCATTATTATCATCGTCGTCATTAAAATGGTAATTAATTATTAACATTATTGATATTATTATTATTATTATTATTATTATTGCTGTTATTTTAAACACGCTAAACATACGAATTTATTCAGTATAGTTATAGAAAGTGTAGTTATATTTTTAAATTATATTATTATAATTTTTAATATTATGTACAATGCAGATATGTCCATGCGCAACTCAAGTAGATCGTGACCGGTAAACATTACGCTTACCGTCATGTATTTATGATAATGTTTTGTCCCGTAGTCACTGTTGTGTTGAAAATTAATGCAACCGAAAGTCCAAAGTTAAAATTAAAAATATAAATCAATAAAAGGATATTAGGTATGTGAATAAATATTATTATTATGATTATTTAGAATATATAGAATTTAACTAGTCTATCTACTAATTGAATAATTTTAATTCAATTAGTAGATAGACTAGTTAATTTAGTGGAGATATTTTATTTTTTGCCCGCAAAAATTAAATTTTTTTTTAATTAGCTTCTAGTTTAGCTATGACAGCTCAACAATTATCAAAATATAACAAAGATAATTAAGGTTTATATTACAAAATAATATTTGTGTAYATTGTGATTTAGATTTTAGATGATGATAACGGAGTACTATATAAAATAATAATGGTTCGGAAACCATGAAAACGTACAGTGGCAGATAACGTATATGACAATAAAATTATTATAATAATGTTAATGAGGTAATAAAGATTAGACTATGGAATAAGTGGTTTGTTTAGAATAGCTGTTAGGAGCGTGATTAGAGGATTAATTAATGAAGAAAGTGTAGAAATAAATTTAGTCAACGACTTATCGCTAGTGTGGCTATTATAGTGGCTATATTAAGTAATGGGATAGTATTTGAATCGGTGACTGAGGCGTAAGAAACTTTGGGAAGGTTTTAAGAGAGGGAGTTTTAAGATRATGAGACGAGAATACAGTATTCGGATTTTGCGAATTTGAATGAGAAGTTTCGCTGTGTTTGAGAAGTACTTTAAATAATGGGCATCTTCTGTAATTGAAAGTATGCAGATCGCACATGCAAAGGGAGCATTTGGCTGGACTGTCTTTGTCCTTAATACAAGTGTCTGAGGCGTGGTCACCCTCACACTTCACACAACGTGGAGAATGATGGCAATATTTTGCTGTTTGGCCGTAGTTCTGGCATTTTTTACATTGGGGTGGATCACTGTTGGTCCTATTGGGTTGTTCGACTTAGATTTTCGTGTGCAAAAATTCTTTTTTTTATACATATAATATCTCCGACATTGTTCGGCGCCAATATTAAATATCTATGACAATATTCATTTCTTCTAATTCAAGATAATTTAAATATCTTATTTTGTATAGCAATATTAGCTTATTCTGTATTCATCAGTCAGATGCATCTATATCGTCATGACACCAAAATGTTGACGAAATTGTCCAGAATCAGAATATGTTGAAACATGAATTTAAAAAAAAATAATGGATATACCTATTGTTATTGCACCTGATCCTCTAATTTATTGTAAGTAACGCGAAGAGTACCTACATGTAAAAAATAAAACGTCAGGAAATATATTTAAGTATTTTGCCTCAGAAAATTATAGTATCGATGCGTTAAAATTTAATTTAAAAATATTTAATATAATTTGTCCATGTTTTTGAATTATTGAAAAAAATAAACTTTTAACACCCTCCGAGTGACACAAGGCCTTCGGAAGAGGATAAATTTCGGAATAACTTGGGATAAGCCAATACATCTAATCTTAGATGTATAATCATTTGACATCACCTGTAAAAATTTTTAAAATATAAAATGTAGCGCTATATAACCCAATATGGGTGTATCTTTCGTAGGTTAGTGTACCACTTAGATCACGAGAAAATCAACGTCGTTGTACTTAAGATCTAACTTTGTAAATTAATTCGACTAAGATTGACTATTCCCCTGTGACCTGTGGTGAATTGAATAAATAGCACTTGGTATTATAAATCAAACATAGTCCAAATTACTCTCTAACAGTCTAAACGTTCCTGATATCTCTAAAAAAAATTATTTGAAATTTTCACAAAATCAGTCGAGTAATTTTTGAGAATATAAGCTACAAACAATTAACAAACATTCAAATAAATATTTGATTTTCAAGAAATAACTTCTTTATTCTATAGCATCTAGGCCATAATTGCTTCGATTTGATGCAACCTTTTGTTTAATTTATACCCTAATGTATTTAATTTAGCCTAATTAATTTACTAATGACAACCATTTATATACAAATAAATACTAATTTTAGATTCTGAGCGGAGCGATGAATGTATTGATTTTAC